ACAAACATGTGCACTTGCAGGCCCAACAACGTCTACAAGAAGAAGGTTGTGTAGTAGACATCAGTAGCCCAGTCCAGGCAGAAGAGTTATGCGGATACTAAACGCAAGGATATAGTCTATGAACTCGGAGACAGAGCATATCTTCATGTGTCCCCTCTTCAAGGAGTTAAATATTTTGAAGTCAAGGAAAGCTAGCACCACGTTTTGTGGGACCATACAGAGTTTTGGAATGCATGGGAGAAGTTGCGTACAAGTTGGAATTGCCCGAAGGATTGTCAGGAGTTCATGATGTGTTTCATGTTTCCCAGCTGAAGAAGTGCCACGCAGAGATGGCCAATATTCCTCTGAGAGATACAGTGCCACTGGAAGCAATTCAGTTGGATAGTGATCTGACTTATGAAGAGAAGCCAGTCAAGATTCTTGAGTTTTGCAGTCGAGTTACTCACAGCAAGGTTATCAAGTTTTGCAAAGTTCAGTGAAGCCACCATACCGAAGAGGAAGCCACCTGGGAGCGAGAAGAAGATCTTCACAAGGACCAACCTAACCTTTTTGCTGACCAACCCGAATCTCTAGGGCGAGATTCATCTTAAGGGGGTAGGTTTGTAACATCCCAATTTTCAATTTGGATGTTATACATAGATCATCATATGAATATCATATTTTATTTGCATTTTGGTTGAGATCCAAGAAATCTGAAGCAACTCAAGGACCCAAGGAGAGAGTTGGAGGTTTCACAAATTTTCATGTTTGGATTTATTTCAAATTTGAAAAGAGGATCAATTTGAATTTAATATTTTCTCTCCAATTATTTCCAATAATAAAAATAAATGAGAGAAGATAATACGACTTCTTCAACAGAAGAGAAACATTGGAGAAAGAATTTTAAAATCAAATTATTATTTTATTTGTATTTTATTTGCTATTTTATTTGAATTAGAGAAAACATGCATTTTTTAAATTTGCATTTTAGTCCAGAAAAATGTTCTTCTTGTCCTAAATATTAGGTTTGAACGGTGAAAATTGTTTCAGGAATTTTTAGAATTTTTTTATATTTTATTAAGATTTTCTCTACGGTGAAATTATAAAAAAAACTTTTCCCAGACCGAACTGGGCCGAAGGCCCAGCCGGCCCAGCGCGCCGCCGCCTTCTCCTCCGTGCGGGAACCGGACTCGCGGGAGTCCGGGTTCGCCCCGCCACGCTGCCCGACCCCTCCTCCAAGTCGGGGGAGCCCCCCCCCTTTTTAAGGCACCGCCCCACACCCTCCTCTCCTCGTCAAATGCCGCCGCCGCTGCTACTGTTAGTCGCCGCTGCCCCGCCTGGCTGCGGCCCCACCGCCGCATGTCGCGCTGCTCGCTGCCTCACCGGAGCCACCGCCGTCGTCGATCCAATCCAATCTGCCGAGCCGCCGGTTTGTTTTTTTAGAACCGGTAAGAACGGCCTAGTTCGAACGGTTTTATTTACGATTTTTTTTTATTTTTAGTGTTAGATCGGTTTAGTTTCCATTTTAGTTTAATTAGTAAACGTTTTCTCGTTTGTTCGTTTTAACAAACGGTTTTCGTTCGTTTAGTTCTGTTAACGAAATGATGGCCAAGCGTTTCCACGATGACGGAGCGACGGCCAACGGCTTTGGCCGCCGCCATCTCCATGAGTGGGAGGCGCGCCTTCTCCACGAGGCGGACTACCCGGCATCGCCCGACATGCATGTGTTGGGCTCGTGGAGGCTCGGTGTCGGAGGAGTCCCCGTACCCCCGCCGTGCCGAGATCGCGTAGATCCGGTTGGCGCTGCCAGAGGAAGCGCGACAGCAGGCGAGGTACGCCCCCGACAGCACCAACCTCTGGACGACGTACTTCAAGCACCGCCACGCCAACCTGCTCGCGTCGACGAACGGCGCTCCGGCACCACGGGGGCCGCACAACTCCGACGGTGGCCGCCAGTGGTGGGTAGTCCCCGGGTGCACTCTCCACGCCGTCCTCGAGCACATCGAGGGCGGCAACGCGCCGCAGATGGAGTACCCCCGCGCCATCCTTCTCGCGTCGGAATGACAGCTCGTGGCTGCCGAGGTGCATGGCGGGCGCGTCCTCGTCTTCCTCCGGCTCCCACTCCTCCGGCACCCCGAAGCCGCTCGTCGCCGTCAAGGCCGAGCCCCAAGAGACGTTGGAGCGTTGGCGCAGGGGCAACCTCGTCATAAACCAGGGTCGCCGCCGCCAACCTTCTCCTCCTTCCTGCGGCCATCTTTGCCTGGTCAGGCCGAAGAAGGAGCCGGAGACGCCGCCTGCCGTCGTCAAACAGGATCACCTCGCCATGGCCGCTGACCTCGAGACCGGCATGAAGTGGGCGCGAAATGACTATGTCCGGGAGGAACTGGAGCGCCAGCGTCGCGGCCGCGGTGAGGACGACATCGTCATCCTCGACGACACTTACGAGGAGGCGCCGTCGCCGTCCAACCCCGTCTGCCTTGGCGACCCAGGGCAGGGCTGCGGCGGGCGGCGGCGTAGTTTTAGGGTTTAAATCATGTATTTTAAATTATGTACAGATATGAATGAATTTCGTCTAAATTTCATCTAAATACTTCAAATTTTAGCCAATACATGGGGGCTAACTTGGGGCGGCGGGTGGGAACCCGACCATCACCACGAGAAAAATAACACCGGCTCGCCACCAGAAGGCACTATTTCAGCCCCTGAGAGTGTCGAACGAGTGGAGATGCTCTAAGGGCAACCCCAACGGGGCGACCCATTTCATCCGCCGCCGTCCGTTTGGGTCGGCGCGGACAAAAGTGGAAGCCCAACGCGCCGACCCAAACCCAAAACGCGTCCGCGCCGACACATTTGCGGCCCAAATTTGCGCCCCAAATGTGTCGGTGCGGACGCGGAACGGACGCCACGCGCGCCTTCTCGATGTCTGCCGCGGCCCCACCTGGCGTTCGCCCAACTACCCGCCCCCTCGCCAGTCAGCTTAATTTATGACCTCAGGCCCATGCGTCAGCGATGGCGGTCGTCCTTATTAAGCCGATTGTGTGGCGGGGCCGTCCTCATTCACTTCTCGTCCCCATCTAGGCCACGCTCGCTCCCCCGTCGCCGGCAAGCAAGCCCTAGCCACCCCAGCCACCCCAGCCGCCCAAATGAGGCTCTTCTCCGGCAGCAGCAGCAAGTCGAAGGGCAAGGCCCCCGCCGTCCCCTTCCCCGCGGAGTTCACACCGCCTCCACCTGCGCCGGCTCGCCGGCAGAGGCAGTGGGTAAGCATGCCCGTGCACCAGGCGAAGTGGCACTGGCGCCACCGCGTGCCGCTGCCGTACCCCGACGTGACGCTGCCGCACGACTGGCATCTGGATCCGGAAAGGATCCCAGTGCCGGCGGCGCCGCGGTCGGCTAGGGCGCACGCGGAGGAGGTGCGTCACCGGCGGGCGCTCCTGATGCCGGAGCAGCGCGGCGACGAGGCATACGCCTACGACTCGCCCAACTGGGCGCGCTGGTTCGCCTTCGAGCACGAGGAGGCGAGGTGGCGCGGCGTGCGCGAGGTCAACCGCAGCGTGCCGCCGCCGCCGCTCATCGTCAAGGAGGAAGACCAGGCGGCAGAGGACGCCTACCAGGCGGCCCTTGCGGCCGTCTACCGGGAGAGCAAGAAGGACGAGCGGCGCAGGGTGGAGGCGGCATAAGAAGAAGAAGCTCGGTACGAGGCGGCCATGGCGCAGGCCATTGCTCTCTCCGCGGCCGACGACTGCGTGGTGCTGTCGGTGGCCCCGCCGTCCCCTCCCCGCCGCCTCGCCAAAGCCAAACCACAGCCGAAGCCGGAGCCCATCGAGCGCTACTCCTGGACAGGAGTAGTGCATGAGTGGGTGAGGGCGCCGCCATTCTGGATGCAGGCCACGCTGGAGCAAGAGGCGGCGTACCTCGAGCACTGGCGGCAGATCCAGGTGGCCGAAGAGCGCCGCGAGGGCGAGTACCTCGAGATGCTCGAGCGCGACGCCGAGGCCGAGCGGCTCGAGGCCGAGGAGGAGGCGCGCCAGGCCGCGGCGGCCCAGGCGGCGGCACTGCCAGCGCGGCACTGCCCGCACCCGGCATGGCCGCCCTCTGGAACACACCGTTCAGCTGGGCCGGTCCGGCGCCGACTCTCATCGACCTCACTGACCCCGAGGACGACGACGACGATGCCTAGGACAGCGCGCCGGCGCCTAGCTTTTAGTTTGTTTTTAATTTTCTTAAATGCTAATGTGGACGCGTGGACCTTCATGGCCGGCTTTAATGTTTAATTAATTCAATTTTTATGTTAAATATGCATGCATTTATATATTTATTTTTTACGCCGTCAAAATGGGTCGCGTCAGTGTTGGGCGAACGCGCCGATCTAAACGCGGGAGCGGACGCCCGTGTCCGTCTGGCCGACTCAAACGAACAAAAAGCGAACAAATGCGTCATCCGTTTAGGTCGGCCCGTTGGAGTTGCTCTAAGGACGGAGGGAGGGGCATGTGAAATACAGCGAAACGCGAGGCGCGGCGTGCCCGGTATCCCCCTCGACCTGCGCTTGTCAGCTGGAGATTAGTTTGTTTATGTTGCTCCACCTCCTCGCCGGTCTCGTGGGCGCCTGGGCCAGCGATGAACCAAACCAGATCCTGACACGCCAAGAAGGCGCACGGAGCACGCACGTCCATCCACAAAGCGGGCGGGTGGGGGGAGAGGAACGAAAACTCGAGTAAATATCCCGAACAAAACCTGTTGCCATCGCACATCGATCAGGGGGCCTCCGTCTAATCGTCCTCCCTGTCGATTTGCTCCCCCCCACACACGCGGAACAGAGAGAAAAACCATACCCACCACCCCCTAGCGCGCCTCGCCGCGCCAGTCAATCAACCATCCAGCCAGCCAACCAATCACCCCCATCCCCCTCCCCATCTCGCGTGGATTAATGGATCTCCGCCCCGCCCCGCTCTCCCTCTAGCTGCTGCTTCTGCTGCTCGCTACTCAGCGTCCGCCCCGCCCGACTCGGAGCCGCGCCGACGGACATGGGGCTCCGCGGGAGAGGGCCGCCGCTGCTGCTGCTGCTGCTTCTCGGCCTGGTGGTGGCCACGGCCTTGGCGGCGGACTCCGCCTCCGCCTCCGAGGGCGACGCCGATCCGCTCTACAGGTCAGCCTTCCTCCCTCCCCGAGATTTCCGCCCTCGTTCCCTCCTCGGCAGTTGGGGGCGGTTCGTGTCCCTCGCGTGTCGGACGCCGATTGCGTACGGTACAACAGTGTTCCGGACAAGCGATGCATCTTTCACCGGGTACTGTTGATTGCTTGATTAACATTGATACTAGTACACTGGTACTGCCGAGTTTTCTAGGGAACCGGAGCTTCAACTAGTAGTAGTTTTGTTAGTGATTAGAGCCGGGAATATTTGCCCGTCCTGTTGAGGGTGGGTGTCATGGGGACTGGAAGCTCCAGAGAGGACCAAGAATCATGGGGGGCCGTGGATGTATGCTTGCCTACTGCGGCTCGGCCCATGGTAAGGTTCGCGTGATCCGCAGCCGCCGATGCGAGATCTCGTGTTAAGATTTGATTACCAGCATTGGACCTGGAAACCTGTCTATAAACTAACTATCTCTTCAGAGATCGAATCTATCCCTATTCCTCTGTGGGGGGAACATTGGTTTGCAGCCACGCCATCTTTGAATTCAGTAATATATCTGAATTCCGAACTCAGCCATCATTCAGGAACATCAGCAGCAGCAAACAAAAACTCTGTACCATCATCTTTTCATCCCACTATTTGGCTTTGTGAAGATGTGCTGATTGTAGTTTGTTCATGCAGTTCAAGCTACTGACTTGGCCAGCAACCAACCAGCATGCTAGTAGTTACTCATGTTTTCCTTTCTTTCTTATTACCAGAGCTTGCTTCGAAGAATGTCAAAGGACCGGCACCCTGAAAGAGGATTCTGTCAAACACTGTGTCGTGCCGACCGATGACCAGCCTGCTGACAAGGCATGGTACGCGCACGAGCCGTTGTACCTGCAGTGGAAGGAGTGGAACTGCAACAGCGAATGCCGATACCATTGCATGATGGAAAGAGAGCAGGAAAGGGAAGAGCTTGGGCTAGGGCCCGTCAAGTATCATGGCAAATGGCCTCTCAAACGTGCTTCTGTGTTTCAGGTACCTCTAGCTCCATGTTACTCTTTATGTCTTCATCAGTACCACAGTTAAAGAATTTTCTGTCTCATGTTCACTTACATGCTGGCTATTGCTTCATTTTTCAGGAACCTCTTTCTGCAGCTCTGTCTGCCCTGACTCTTCTCGTGCAATTTAACGGATGGCTATCGTTTTTCCTCTTGCTTTCTTACAAGCTACCTCTCAGGCCGGAAACTCATGCCACATACTACGAATACACCGGATTATGGCACATTAACGCGCTCTTGGCCATGAATTCATGGTTCTGGTGTGCCATATATCACAGTTGGTACGTTCAAGTCTAGCAGTCTACGTTTTCAGATATGTCGTCTGTCGACAGTTAATTAATCCAGCTTGGCCATCTCTGTTACAGTGATACTGCTTGGACAGAAAAGCTGTACTTGTCATCAGCTGCTGCTTTTCTTGGTTACTCCCTCATCTTGGCCATACTGCGAACTTCGAATCTGAGGGATGAAGCTTCAAGAGTGATGGTTGCAGCTCCAATTCTGGCTTTTGTGACAACCCACATTCTGTACCTCAACTTCTACGAACTCGACAAAGGTATTCCAAATTCATGATAACTTGTTTTGCTTCTGCACGATCATTGAGAAAACTATATGCAGTTAAATTCTGAGATTGGCACTTCCTGGTGATAGTGCTGGAAATTAAAAGACTTGGCTGTCCTAACCTCTTCTAATTCTGCAGGCCTGAACATGAAGGTTTGCACTGTTATTAGCGTTGCGCAGCTCCTTTTGTGGACAGTGTGGGCTGCCATTACAAGGCATCCTTCACGCCTGAAGGTCGTCTTCGTTGCTATCGGCGGTGTCCTCTCAATATACCTGGAAGCCCATGATGTCCCTCCGCGATGGGGATATGTTGATGGTCACGCAATCTGCCTCGCCATGGCTATCCCCCTGTCCTACCTCTGGTGGAGCTTCGCCAAGGAAGACGCCGAGATGCGCACGGCGGCAATTATGAAGAAGAAACGATAACGGGCTTCGCCAGACCAAATACTTGCATCTTTGGTGGTGAATCTGTGAAAACTTGTCTCCACTCATCCAATGTAAAGATGGGTTTTTCATTGTAAATTTAGGAGATCTCGTATGTGAATTACTGTTTTTTCCATGCTACTTTTTGCCTCAGCTCAGGAGGTTTACGTGGTTTGAAACTTGTGATAGCCCTTTGTATTTCTCTCATTTACAAGCCAATTGAGTGTGTGATAGGTTTGTTTTCATCTCTTTTAGATGCACTGTACTGGAAGCAGTTCTGATCTGGATTCGATACCGTAACATGATCTTATGGACTGCATACAAGCACACTAAGGGCCTCTTTGATCCGTGGGATTCTCAAAATGCAGGAATAGAAAAATTCTAAAAATGCAGGAATAGAAAAACAAAAGAATAGTGTCATGTCCTCTTGTACCCTACGTGATTTGGAAGAATGTTTGATAACATAAGGAAAAAACAAAGGAATCCAACAGAGAGGTTTGAGTGGATGATTTTTCTTCTCCAAATGTACTACAAATGAATCCTATGGAAAACTCCGAAGGATTTCAATCCTACAAATCACACGACCATCGTAGGAAAAAAATCCTAAAGATCCAAATCCTCCAAAAATGCTATGAAATTTCTTTGTATGAAAGGAGCCTTAAAATGCGTCTACATTTATTACATATGTCAAATCGACGAAATTGTAGTATTATTATTATTTTACCTGATTATGTAGACAAGGATTGCATTTAGACATGTACAAATCCACAGCGTGAGCTAATTTTGTTGTCCCCACGTAGGCTTTTTTCTAGAACGGCCACATAAAGACTGGTTAGGCTTAGCACTGAACTACATACAATCAACCTAAATGTGTAGAGATAGCTAAAGATGCAGCCCGTTGTAGAACTCTAAATATGTTTAAGTGTTGAGCAAACAAGAAAACTAAAAGAGAGGAGCAAAATAATGGATGCCTCGTTGAAAAATGAACACATGACAATATTTACGTTGAACAAGATAGAGACCAAGATGGTAATCTATTTAGTAGCAATCCTGAGTGCACCTCAAACACACCAGATCTGAAATATTCAGTTGACAGACAAAAATGCCGAAAAGGGGAAGGCAGAGCGTTCACAAAAGGAATGAAACGAGCAGCTCAGCTCAGCTCATACATATGCCAGTCACTACCACATAGCGAGCTCACTGCACCATCTCCATGTCCTTGAAGTACTCATGCTCAAGAGCCTGCCTGGCCGTGATCCTCTTGTTTGGCTCGAACCGAAGCATTTTCTGCAATGAAACAAGAGGATATAATACAGTTACATTACATGATGCCATGTCCACGGTCGTAGGTGGATGTCTTCTTGACTTACCGAGAGAAGGTCCAGGCCAAGAGGTTCAAGATTGGGGACAACGGTTGCAAGGTCCTGGAGATCATCAGTGAAGGTTCCAAAAGGAATGTCAATGACATGGTATATATAGGCCATTATAAACGTACTTGCCATGAGCGTCTAACGGAAAGTTTAAGCGGTGGTCTCGCACCTCTGCCTGCCACCTGGGGAAGGCGGACTTGTAGTCTGGCAAGGAGCTCACGCCTGGCCAAGTTTGTTCATTTGGAGTGCCGAGTACCCTTCATTGGATAACCAGAACGCAACACACAAATCAGATGAGTAGGTAGGCAAGAAGTGCACTCAGAAGATGAGAAATTGAATAGGAGGGCGTGGCGAGATCCGAACCTGAATATCTTAAATAGTTCATCAATCTCAGAATCGCCAGGGAACAGTGGTTTCTGGTTCACCATTTCTGCAAAGATACAGCCCACTGACCACACGTCAACTGGTGTGGAATACTGCCTTGCTCCAAGAAGGATTTCAGGAGCTCTGTACCATAATGTTACTACCTGAAAATACTTGGTCAGTTGACGTGGCATGGAATTGGATAGATAGAAGTATGAGCTTGTTTAGATGCAAAATCACATGTACACACTAAGAGCAAAATAGCATCAACAAATTTATGACAAAGATCGCCCAGGACAGTTTCCATGGCCCCATGTAAACAAGTAACAGAAGAAAAGTACCTCATGAGTAAATGTACGGACAGGAATTCCAAATGCCCTTGCTAAACCAAAGTCTGCAAGCTTCAGTGCATTAGTACGCCGGTCTATCAATAAATTCTGAGGTTTCAAATCTCGATGAAGAACTCTATGAGAATGACAGTAAGCAACGCCGCGGAGTATCTGATAGAGATATGACTGGAGAAAGAAGAAAACAGTCACATACTCACATACCACCAAGATGCAACCAGAAGTTAATGCATTTTCTGAGTCAAACATGAATATGCTTGAATGAAGGTGCAAAAACAGCAAAACAGGATGTAGCGCTTGCACTCATTCTACATTTATTACTTTCTGTATAAGAGTATAAGTATCTCAATAAAGTACTGTTGCATGAACTTGATGTTTACCTACACAACTTAGTTGATCTAAAATGTGTTGCAACAATTCATATTGAAAGCAAACTCTTAACATTACCTGCAAAACTATATGCCAACGAACAGGTAATACTAATCTGAAAATAATATGTCAAGAAATGTGCTAGCTACTTTGATCAAAGGATCACAGACCATGGCTGTCAGAAGTGTTTGTTGAAGGACACGGTGCCAATTCTGTGTGCAGTAAGCTGTCACACAAAGACAGCAACCATGACACAAATGATGCCCACATGGAGACCATACAGTGCTGGGGTGATGGTGGTAGTGCCACACTGCCAATCATTTATAGCAACAGACCTACCACTAAAGAGTGTTGTAGCTTGGGTGATGTTTTATTTACAGCTTGCAGGAGTTACCATAGAGCAAAGAGTGTTGTTACATCTAATTTGAGGAGGAGATAGGCTCTGCTGGCCAGCTATCGTGTTCAGTACTAGAGCCCAAGGCAGTCCTGGAAAGCAATATTGATTATCTGTTCCTATAGTGTAACCATGTTACCCAGAGCCATGTACTAACATTGTTGAAAGTTTGAGACAAGGTTAAAAAGAACTCCAACGTTCACTTTGAGATCACAGAAATTCCCACATTAAGCAGATAAAATAGAGAAAGATTACAGCATTTATTTTGGTTGGCCCAGTTTATAACGGTGAAGACGATGCAACAAATATTGAAACGATTACATTTGTAGAAGAAATACACCTACATTTCCAACAACAAACAATGCATTTGTAAAGCAAACACAGCTCTGTTTTCAAATTTGTAAAGAATTTAGCTAGTTCAAGAATAATAAAGTCTATTCTTACCACAACAATGTAGGTACAGTGTAACTCTAAAGTAAACATACATATATGCCCAAACATCACATGTGCATATAACCTAAATACCAGTGACATTCAGTGCAACAAGTTTAACAATGAAAGACAAGCATATCTCTGAGTCAGACATGAATATGCTTGAAAGAAGGAATAAAAACAGCAAAATAAGATGCAACGCTTGCACTCGTGTTATATTTATTACTCTCTGCATGTAAGTATAAGCCTCTTAATAAAGTAACATTACATGGATTTCATGTTTACCTATACAATTCAGTTGATCTAAAATGTGTTGCAACAATTCATATTGTAAGAAAACTCTAACGTTACCAATACTATATGCCAAAGAATAGGCAATACTAATCAGAAAACAATATGTCAAGAAATGCACCAACTACTTTGATCCAAAGACCACAGGCCATGGTTGTCAGAAGTGTTAGTTGAAGGACACAGTGCCAGTTATGTGTGCAGTAAATAGTTACACAAAGACAGCAAGCATGACAGAAATGGTGCCCACATGGAGATCATACAGTACTGGGGTGATGGTGGTGGTGCCACACTGCCAATCATTTATAGCAACAAACCTACCGGTAACAGTGAACACATGTTTTATTTACAGCTTACAAGAGTTACTGTACAGCAAAGAGTGTTGTACAGTACATCTACTTTGAGGAGATGGGCTCCATTGTGTGCCAGCTATCGTGTTCAGTACTAGAGCCCAAGGCAGTCCTAGAAAGCAATTGTATGTTCCTATAGTGTATCCATGTCACCCACAGCCATGCACTAACATTACTGAAACAAGGTTAAAAAGAGCTCCAAAGTTCACTTCGAGATCTCAGAAATTCCCACATTAAGCAGATAAGATTACAGCGTTTATTTTGGTTGGCCCAGTTTATAACAGTGAAGATAATCCAATAAACATTGAGATAGATTACATTTGTAAAAGAAATACAACTACATTTCCAACAACAAACATTGCATTTGTAAAGCAAACACAGCTCTGTTTGCAAACTATTCATTTTTAACATCTGTTGGCACAGGAATTCAGCTAGTTCAAGACTAATAAAAGTCTGATCTTACCACAACAATGCAGGTACACAGTACCTCTAAAGTAAACAACACATATATGTCCAAACATCACATGTGCATATAACCTACATACAAGGGACATTCACTGCAATAAGTTCAACAATGAACTAGTACACACGTGAGACAGACAAGGTTGCTTTTCCCCAACTGTGCATACAGGTTTACGCTAAGTGTGGCCCTAGTGAACAGCAAAACGGGGACTGTCCTGCCATATAAAACACAGTGACATAAGAAGACAGGTGATACACCATATACGGAGGGCACAAGGCATAATGTGGGTTCTGTATGTGCCTTGTCATGAATAATTGTACAACATATGAGAGCTAATAATTCTTTTACACGAAACAAGAAGGCACTCTTATTGTTCTACCACTCCCAGCACTACCAAGTTGTATGACATACATAATCATCGATCAGTAACAAACGGACAAACAAATGTTCAACCAACTAAATACGGAAAGCAATAGAAGCAAGTCACGGTCATACGCACGACAATGTCACATTGCTCACCTTGATCAAGGCGGGACTCTTGGCAAACTCTGGACAGGAGTCCATGAACTTCTTCAGGTCCAGATCCAGGTACTCGAAGACGAGCCATATGCGCTTCTCGCTGTGGACAACGTCGTGCAGCCTGCAAGAGATGAATTAGCAAAACTTCTCAGCGTAGCAACAATGCATACCACCTACTAACACTCACCCTATAAATAGATGGATAAATAAATAGCAACATCACAGGCAGTACTAGCACATTTCATAGGTTCTAAATCCGCCTGTTCATTTACTGTTGCATAAAAGCGAAGGCCATCCGTCCCCATCTCCATCTCGACTTAATGCCCAGTTCAATCAATCAAATGATCAATGAATCAAGCAGTTAATCCGAGCTAGTTGAGGCAAACCAATGCCAAATCCTAGATAAATCCGGAGCAGGTAGGAACAGAGTGAATGCAAACAACAAACAAACAGACGCACTTGACGATGTTGCCGTGCTGCATCTCCTTGAGGAGCGAGATCTCGCGGATGGCGGTGGAGGGGACGCCCTCGTCCTCCTGCTCGAGGCGGATCTTCTTGAGCGCGATGGTCTCGTTGGTGGCCCGGTCCCGGGCCTTGTACACCACCCCGTACGTGCCCTCCCCGATCTTCTCCACCTTCTCGTACTGCGCAAACACACCACACGCGGTTGAGAAGACGAGAACAGAAAACGAGATCGGATCGGACGAGCCGAAACCCTCGCGCCGCGTCCGGACGGAGGCGGATCGCCCGTTCGCGCGGCGCCGGTTACCTGCTCCATCGGGGGGGTCGGCGTCCAATGCTACGGCGGCGCGGGCGGCGGGAATGGACGAGGAGGCGGGAGGCGGGAGAGGGGG